AAAAACTTGATTAGCACGAAACCACACCACGAATTAATCCCTACTAGAGCCCAAGTTTTTAAACTCCAGTCGGGTGCAGTATATGGCAAGTATTTAATAGTCAAACCCGGGTCAGTCCATATACCCCTACTTCAATCTCTTAGTTTGTTATCTAACAAACTAATTTGGGTTTAAAACTAAGAAACCTACAAATGAAAAAAAGAAAGTAAAGTAAATCGAGGTTGTCCTAATGAGAGAAGAGTTCACCAGGATGTTGCTCCCCCTAGCTAACAATTGCAACTTGAAGAATCGAACGACTGTGTGTGGTTAGGGGGTTATAAACCGCAGGGAAGTCTAACAAGAAGCCAAAGCTACCCTCTTAGCCTCTAGGTTGAGGAATGGGATACAATCTAAGCCACTAATGTGACCCTCTTAACCCATCGACTAAGGAATGGTTAGACTTCACCCACGAATTGGAGTTCGGACGACCACCCACAACCAAACCCTAAGTGCTGGTATGAAGTAGGAGGTTTGCCCTTAACTAACCTAGAATAAGAGGCATAAAATGTCCAAGGAAACCCATCTCTAATAGAGTCTCTTAGGTAGCGGTGGTAAACGGCTTACCGGTTAACGGTATAACCGGTTACCGAACCGGTAATCGGTATACTGTTAACCGGTTATAACAAATTCAGACGGTAGTCGAAATCCATATAGCCTGTCCCGGTATACTGATAACTGGTTTCAGAAACCGACATGTTAACCGGATACCGATAAGCTAACCGAACACAAGCAATCTAACCCCCTAATTCCGATATGCCCCCCCATCTACCACCAGTCTACTTCTTCTCTTCTCATTCTTTCCTCTCGACCTGCCCCATCTGAGATTTACATTCTTCTCTTCTCATGGGCCATCTTTCTGTCTTTTCTAGTACTGACGGAAGTAAAGGAATGGTGCGAAGCGTAAGGGAATTCTTCTTTCTTCTCATCATTTATGGATATTGAGGCAAAATTAGGGGAAGAAAATCAGAGAACGATAGGGATATTTCCAAAAGAAGATGGACATGCATCGCCTTTCTCCACTCCTCCTTTGCCATACGCCGCCATTGCTATGTCTCCTGTCCCAAATCGACTTCCCCGGCACCATCGCCGTCGCCATCGGCTTTCCCGGCACCATCGCCATTGCGCCCGTTTCACCAGCATCTGCTATCAAATCAATGGCAATCAAGCCACCGCCGAGAGATGATCAATCATCGTCGCTCAGACTCTTTCACTGCCGTCGTCGACATCACAGTCCAGGCACTCCATTTTCTCAAGGTCACTGATGTGAGTAATTGATTCCGCCTTACCCAGATCTAAAAATGGCTTCTCAATCACCGGCTCTGTACCTCGTTCTCCTCTAATGGACGACGAGAGGGACAGTCGCCTGATGATTTTGTAGGAGAATCAGAGAAAGACAGTCGCCGGAGATAGAGAACGGCAATCGGCAGCGAGAGGGATTCGATTTGTGGGCTTCAATCAAACTGTTCCAGTGGCGGCGGCGACGGAGGTGGAGAGCCTGCATCGATCATCGTCGGAAGGGAGCACGATAAAGGAGGTGGGAGGTGGCGGTTGTTGTTGGTGGTGGTGGTGAAGGCAGGGGAGAGGTAGAGGAAGTCAAGGAGTACGAGGAAGAATGGGATTATGGCGGAGGGGGTTTGGGGATTTTCATGGTGGAAGAGATAGGAACGAAATGGGGTGAGAAAGTGAAGGAATGGTCTCTATGCGAGTTGATGTATTTGAGAATTTTTTTTAAAAAGATTTGTGGTTAAATCGGTATTCCTCTCATAACCGGTTGTTAACCGTTAACTGGGTAACCGGTTAGCCGGTTAGCCGGTTAACCAATTTCTATCTGGTAACGGTAGGCGGTAGTTGTTTTGTACTAAACGGTATACCGTTAACCGGTTAATTGGTTACCGGTTAACCGGTAACCGACCTATTACCACCCCTACACTTAGGTTAAGGAGGGTTCTCTCTAAACTAGCTTAGGAGGGATTGAATGCCCAAGGAAACCCAGCTCAAATTGAGCCTCTTTGGATAAAGGAGGTTTCCTCTCTAAACTAGCTTAGGATGCATGAAATACCCAAAACACCCATCTTCAATGGAGCCTCTTAACCTAAGGAGGTCTCCTCTCTAAGCTAGGTTAGAATGATAATTGGATTGATAGGCTTTCACACAACACAATCATTACTAAATAATACCTCCACATTCAAATTAAAACACAACCACACAAATCATTCAATTCATACAAGCATTCACGTAATTGTAGCTGGGGTTTACAAACACCCAAGTGAATATGTAGGCTATTCCATAGCTAGACAAAAGGAAAACAAGGAAAAGGAGAGAAAGAATCATGGAGAGATGAAAACATTTCCTCCTTGTTGCTTGAATCTCACTTGAGAAGAAGAAACCTCCACTCCTCTAGCTTGAAATGAGCCCAAATATTCTTCTTCCTCCTTTAAATTGCACTTTCTCTCTCTAGATTAGGAAGAGGAAACCCTAATCTCTCACTAGAAACCCTCCTTTATTCTAAAACTAAAAACCTACCAAAAAGCTCTTTCTTCCTCCTTTCGGCTCTCAATTTATACTGAGATCGCGCCTAGTTCACGGCCGTGAACATCAGAACGCGTCGGTGAACACAGTGTCTGGACCACAACACACCGCTTCACATCTTGAGGTTCACGGTTTGTGGCTTCTGCTCACGGTCTTAGCGACCGTGAACAGCCTGGCCATCATTAACCTCAAAACCTCCTCTGGTCGCTTCACTGTTCACGGGTTGTGGTTCCAGTTCACGGTCCTGGCGACCGTGAACTCTCATCTCTAACCATGAACTGTGGCTGGTTGCTGGATGCTTTGTACTTTTCTTTGGTTTTTTTCGCTTTTTGACATCCAATCATCCCGAAACTCGTCCTTAACCTTTCCACGTTTGATAGGACCTGAAATGTATCAAAACAAGCACAACCTAGCATGAAATATGTCGAGGGACGATGAAATGCAAAGTCAAACTACCATGAAATGAGGGGCAAATGTGTACAATTTGACCCGAATCAACTCGCTCTACATGCTCCTTTCTTTGGGAACTTGTTCCTATGCTGTTTCCCCATCATACAAGTTCCAGTTACTCCCAACTCTCCAGATATCTTGGGAAGACCTTCCACGAGCTCCTTTCTGTGCCGTTGAACCAGACTAGTTGAGTTCAGATGCCCAAACCTACTTTGCCACATATGCAAGTGGCCTTCTTGATTTTTATCAGTCTGCAGGCACTGCATGATGTCTTCTGGATGTTCACCTAGACGTTTTGATTGGAGTATGAACATTCTATTTGACTTCATGTTGGTTTGCAGCATCAACCCATGCTTCTCATGATAAATCTTGCAAGTACCATTTCTGATGGTGAAGTCCAGGTTTTTCTCCTACAACTGACCTACACTCAGTAGGTTTGATTTCAGTCCTGGCATATAGAAAAAATGTTGGATGACTAGAGGAACTTGATCTACCACCATCTTAATGGCACCCTTTCCTTGAACTTCCATTCGACTGCCATTCCCCAGTTTCACATCACTCTTGAATATGTTGTTGAGCTTGATGAACCAACTCTTATCACCACACATGTGGTTACTGCAGCTAGAATCTAGAAACCACCATTCTTCCTTTTGTTTCTCCAGTTGATGAGAAACCATAAGTTCTTGACTTTCTGTAGATTTTTCATCCACTGAGCCATCAGGAGCACACCATCTCTTATCTCAGGAAAGGAGGAATTCCAATTGGAGTAATGAGCTTGAGTATTCCAGTCAGGGCATTCATTGTGAAAATGCCCCATTTTGTGGTACTTAAAATACTCCACATGATCTCTATTCCTTATTCTACCTCCTCCCCTGCCTCTGCCTCCTCTTCCAAACCTACCACCTCGTCCTCTGCCTCCTCCAAACATTTCAAGTGCTTTGCAAAGCATTGAAAGAAAGTATTGGTTATGTCCTTTGACTCCTCAATAGAACACACTATGTAGTTGAATTTCTCAGTAGGGTTTCTGAATACCTTTTCAACAATGATGTGTCTGACATAGATTCCCCACTGTTCCTCATTGAGTTGGCGATGACCATCACTCTGTTGAAGTAATCAGTAACAGATTCTCCCTCCTTCATTTGCAGCAGCTCAAATTTCCTTCAAAGTGCTTGGAGATTGGACTTCTGCACTCTTTCATTGCCGTGGTAGCGAGTCTTCATGGATCCCACAGCTGCTTGGCAGTCCCCTTGTGGGTAATGGTTTTGAGGATGGCTTTGTCGATTGAACCAAAGAGATAGTTCTTTGCATTCAAATCCATCAGGCGAGTAACTTCTAGGGTTTTTGGTTGAACTGCATTCAGCTCTTCTCCTTCTCAAGGCTCCTGGAATCCTGTGTCCACAACAGCCCAGATTTCTTTGGACCTGAGCAAATTCTCCATGACCAGACTCCAGTGGTCATAGTCCCCATCAAATTTGGGAATTCCGACCTGAGCAAAACTGTTATCACTCAAGTTTTGCTTCTTCTCTCACCAAAAACAATAGCTTCCCTTGATCACTCGTGTTTCCCAGAACCCAAATCACTTTACTATTTCGCACACTATGCTCTAACACTCTCACAACACTCGGATTTGCTTGGTCATAGCCTGCGATTGCTCTGATACCCTTATGATAGTGCAAATGAAAGCAAACTGACGAGCTTTCTTATTCTCAACCAAGGAGTTTAAATACAGGAGTGAGCACCATGAAGTTCAGCCACTCACTAACAGAAGGATCATAGATCCAGGACTCTAGCAACAACTAACAAACTCTTCTATCTTTCTGCTACTAACTCTAACTAAGCCAACTCTTACATATGGACTTGACTCACTCGGAAAACAAATAGCAGAGTCCAGAGATAAATAAACCATAAAGGCTACTTTCCAACGGATAGCTTATGAAGAGAAGAACAACCCGCCTTTCTTCAACAAAGATTGCAATTGGATGTCACCAATCATGTTTTAAGCATAGTAGGTAGGACCAGAGGGTAACAATTTCTTGTGTTTGTTTAAGGTTTTGACAGTGGTTTAAACACCTTGTTTGTGGCCAAAATGGGATTTGCACTTTATGGTCACCTCCATCTTCTATCCATATAAGATAATCGGAAAGAACACACTGCTTCTCCTTAGCTGGATGGTTGTTCTCAATCGTGAGCTTGAACTCAAGATTTTCCGGCACCACCTTCATGGACAGCCCTTCCAACGGCGTCAAACTCGTTCGGTAAACTTTTCGTTCCTTTACCGATATTAGTAATATCACTGTCCTGGTAAACTCCAAGACCTCATGCGGGTGAGAACTACTTATGTAGTTGATGTTGAAGAGAGTGCAAGAAAGGATGGATAATTGAGGTCGAGAGTTGGGGCAGAGCAGAGGTCGGTTGACGATGATGGTGTGATGGCTCGAATTTGATTGGCGGTGAAATTCATTGTGCATAGCAAGTTGACATAATCGTTTACACTGGCGTCGCAGACTAGACCGAGGGTGTAATGCCTTGTTGGGGTTAACATGACCCACCCCGATGCCAAAAGCTGTGGATGTGCGCTCACTTTTGCCCGCATCTTTGATCGGCTGGTTGGAGAGATCGAGTGAATTCACTACCTTCATCATCACCGTTAGAATCGTAGCGGGGCTCCAGTCTGGGTGCGCCTTCTTGATGAGGGCTCCTACTCTGACGAGATGTGGGCACGACATTGAAGTCCCGGAGAAAAGTTTGAACTCAGTGTGTAAGGAATTTGGGCCGTCCTCCTTGGGCTTGATGTTGGAAGGCCAGGTCGTGAGGATCAGTGATCCGGGCCCAATTATGTCGGGCTTCAGGACGAACGAGCAACTGTTTGATGGGCCTCTGGAGATGTAACTTGTGAGCGTAGGCGCTGGTCTCGGGTCAAAGCTGGTGAGCCCAAATTCTAAACTCCCTTCCGCTTCCGGGTGGCTCCTCACTTAATTCTCCAAATTCTGCCCGTCCTTCGGGGTTATGAAAATTGTCGGTAGAGAAAATTGGATCAAGTCCTCGAGGAATGATTCGGTGACATTGGTTATGAATATGCCCCCAATGACGCATGAATTGTTGAGACTGAGAAGCTTATTGAACCCTTGAAAAATCTGTAGGAAAAATTGGATTACTTTTTAACCTTCACAGAATTCACTATTGCTCAAACACTCTTTTCTTTCTTTCTTCTTATTTGTTTTGCTTAGTTTTTTCTTGGGATGAAGAATACATACACAAATCATGGCTATTTATACCCAAGTTTCAACACTAAATTGTGGCCCAAACTTTATCACACTTAACTACCACTCCACATCTACTTAGCCCCACAAATATCTAACCATTTGTGGTTCTTTTTTCTTCTTTTATTAATCCAGAACTACCTTCATTAATACAATCTTGAGACAATTACATACACTTCACAACTATAGTTACTTTTGATATTTTAGCTAAACATTTTTTTTATTAAACTTTATTTTCTTTCACGCATGATCTTGCCTTTGATTACTTCTCGAGTCGTGCACCCATGAAGACGATCGGAGCTTCGCCAGTGCAGTGATTTCCAGGGTACAAAGAAGACCAGGATATCGAGAATCCCTTTTAAAATTTGAGCCGCTCCCGTAATCGATGCTCAATCGTATCGACGACGACGGTGATGTGAGAACCCACGGGATCCCGTTGTGGAGGGCCCTAGAGAGCGTGCCCACAATCCCGGCTGAAGTGGCGATGAAGACGTTCCTTTGTACTGTCTTGAATGTCGCTAGGGCGATTGAGTCTTCGTGCAACGAGATGTTATAAAATCCGAACGCCATTGAAAGAACGTCCACACCATCGACAATTGCTCGGTCGATCGCAGTGATTGCGTCGCAGGGGAAGAGTAGTCACCGAACAATGCCTTTTAAACGGTGACGTGTGCTTTAGGAGTTGTCCCCTTTGTCATTGACCTGGCATAGCCGAAGTACGAGGTGCGGTCCATGAAGTTTTCTACTGCAGCGTTGGAGGTGTGGGTCCTGTGTCGCTGCAGACCATAGTCATGTTGGTTGCAATCAGGGACTTGTTGAACACATGTGCTCCAATCAGCTTGATGGTTCAAAGCAGTTGTTGATGAAGTGGAAATCCCTTTTCCATCTCGCCAGGCATGGACTCATCTTGTGGTCTTCGTAGCTCTCACACTCCAGGTAGGCACCCAAGACGACCACCCCGACGATCATTCCATCGCCATTGTTGGACGCCTCCCAAGCTGGAGAGGAAACACGAGGCCCAGGAAATTGGCCAAGTGCGTCGTGTCGTATTTAACTAGTGAGTTCTGAATGGAGTGGAGGAAGCCCAGAGAAGTCTTCAATGATTGGAACTCGGAATCAGGGAGAGAAGCACACAATCCGTCGAGGACATTGGAGTATGTTTAGATTAGCTTGGAAGTCGCGGATTTTGCTTGCGATCAGCGACAGGGAAGCCAAATGCCATTGGTGTGGGGATCGAAAGGCTTTTGGCATGGCACTCGAGTCCATGGGAACAACATGTTGCTGCTCTATTTGGACAAGTGCAAAAAGAAAGGTGGTGATGATGCTAACAGTTGCCATCTATGATAAGATGAATCTTTATCCAAATGTATTGAGTACTTCATGCATAGAATTCACAATTAGTTCAATTTTTATTGTATAGTTTATATAACCAATTTGCATCAAATACAACCATTTGAAAAGAATTGGTTATATAGCCAATTATGTATACTAGTAAAATGGCGTGTGTTTAGCGTCAAGATGACTTTGGTAACAATCTTAAATATACCAGTTGAAAAGAATTGGTTATATAACCTATTTATTCAATACCAAGCTCACTTCATGTATGATTTTGGTAACAATCTTAAATATACCAGTTGAAAAGAATTGGTTATATAACCTATTTATTCAATACCAAGCTCATTTCATGTTGGATTGCAACATGACCAAACTACATACTTATCAGAATATGATGGAAACTCTAGTTGGAGTAACAATAGAAAGTATATTTTTTTAGATGGATGTTCATGTCATTGGAATGGTTGTTCATTAGTGCCATACTAGAGAAGCAAGAGTTCAAGAGTAAATGAGAGAATTCTTATTTATGATTTATTTACTTTTGGCAAAACTTTATTTACAGAACTAGTAACATTCACATAGAGAATTCTTAATACATTGTTCCGCGGTAGCTCCCCCAAATGTATCAGCACATTTGAAAATAGAATTCTCAAGTACACACACCGATCCAGCAGGTGTAGTTTTTTTTTTCAAAGTCAAGTGTTATATATTCAGTCATATAGAGGAAATAAGAAAAGCGCGGGAGTCGACCACGATGAGAGGGGGTCTTTTGTGCCACATGATGGGAAACCCTATTGAGTCGACGAGGAACAAAACAGTAAGAAACCCAACTAAAGAGAGAAGCCAAGCTCCAAGCATCCTCCAACATAGCTCCATCTAGATCATGAGCCAAGTTACCGTCCACCATCCATCAAATGAATTGTTGAGAATCCCCATGAAAATTGACAGAAAGAAAAGAATGTGTTATGTATCAGTGTATGACAAACTTGTCATTACAAATGGAACGCATATTCCATCATAATACTTTCAGAAGGCAAAAAGAACTTTACATGCCAGCTATCGCTTGGAAGCCTACGAAGCCAATACTACCCTTTTGGCCACGCTTAACCACGCCATCAAACCATACAATTATTGTGTCTGAGGAAGTCTCTCCGATAACCGGATCTTTGCTGCAGGGGTAGCAGGATGCTGAATTGATCAATTGCCCCTACTGTAGGACAACTAAACTCCAATGAATGGAGTTAAACAAGCCAATAAGGCTTAGGCGGATACTCCGAATCCAAAGCTAACAATCTCAGTAATAACATTTATTTAAACTATAATTAGAAAAAATTAATAAACTAAAACGGAGGACATTGAAAGAACCAACATTATCAATTTTAGGAAAATGAGTGGATACTTTTGAACTAGTTAGAGGCCATTAAAAGAAATTTTAGTATACTTAAAGGCCAATAAAAAGGTTGGAAAATTGAACACGAAATAAATTAATTGTAAAAGCTCCAAATAGTTAAGGAAGGTAAAATTAAAAGAGTTTAAATTTTAATTGAAAACTAAATTAGAAAGGAGATTGAAAGACTTATCTAAAGGTGTCGGTTGGAATTTTCCTCTGGAACCGTAAAAAAACGTTTGGCAGAACGTCCGTTGAGGCAGTAAGGAAGCCGCGGTTTTCCTTGAACGGCCGTCGCACACCGACCGGGGAAGAAGACGAACCACCGCTGGCTTGAGAGGAAGACGACGAATCGCCAACCACCGTTGGGGGATTGGACGACTAACTATCCCCAGACGACAACGTTGTAGGCTTCAAAAGGCAATCCACTACCAGATTGAAAATGTCCCCGGTGACACAAGTGAGGAGGAAGCCCAGAGCTTTTCGTTTGATCCAGCACCAGCAGGTATAGTTCCTACCACGCAAAACTTTAGGTTAGAGTTATTGATATTTATAAATATATTAGCGTGGGCCCCGGCCAGATGGCCGGAGGAAAGTGAGATATGAAATTTGATAATGTAATGGAGTGTATAGCTTATTGTTGTATAGTTTTTTTTAGGAATCACGTGATAAAAATAGTGAATTTGAGCAGGAAAGAGACATGAATGATGCAATGAATCAAAAATCAGCCTTATGAACCAAAATCAAGTACATGTTACCTTGTGAAACAATATTGTTTCTGGTAATATGATGAGGTGGAGTAAGTTTTATGAAAACCGAATTCCAGAAAATCGAATAAAAAGTCGCCTATCCCGTTGGTTTTCGAGAAATGAGCATCTCACAATCGTTGTTAGCTTTTACTGGCCCGTTGGCCGATTAATTTGCTTTATAAAACTTTCATCTTGTCGTCATTGTGTTTTTTGGTTTTTGTCAGGCCATGATAAAATCTAAAGAAATCAAGAACGAGCAACACGATTTGGGATAGGAACCACCGTTTCTGTATCCCTAGAAAATGGTGGTAAACACAGACTCACCTGTCAAACTGGTTTGGATTGATATTTTTATCGTGTATCAGGGAACCATGTGATTATAAATTAGACTTGATAAAAACGAGCCAAAACTTGAAATTCAGCCTGTTTGACCGACCCATGCCAAACTCTAATTATTCTTTACTTTTAAATTTCTATTTGAAAATAAAAAATAGCGAAAGAAAAGAGATGACTGCAATTCACCATTTGCACATCACTAATTCGGGAATAAAACCATAGAAATCCGAAAGGAAACTGAAAATGTTTAGGATCGTTTTAATGTTAAAAATAACCAAATAGATTTTTCTGTTTAGTTTTTTACTAACAAATACCAAACGATCACCTATAAAATACACTATAATTTAATCATTATGATAAAAATTGGACTAATTGGGTTGGTCGAGGTTGAACCATTGAATAACTTTAAAATACATTATATTTTAGCCACTAAGATATAAAATAATAGCATAATATATATTATGCTAGAGAAAATAGCTTGTTTTAGAATGGCAAACTCATGATGTTCATTTGTTTTACTTGATGGCCAAATCTCATGTAGGTCACGCCCATTCAACTTTTTTATTTTATGGTTAGCGGTTAGCCCATTAGAATCCTTTTTTTTTTTTTACCAATAGATCACTTGTATTACCAAGGCAAACAACTAGAAAAGTTTACAATTCAAGAGCAAACCAATGAAAAAAATCAAAAGTATCTACAACTGCAGGCAACAAAGAAAGGGTCTTCCTAGCCACCTCATGGGCCACCCGATTGTTACTCCTGCCAATAAAAGCCACCTCGAAACGCAGGTAAAGGTGCCGAAGCTTCCTAATTTCTTCAAGAATCCGACCTCCCTGCATTAGTTTATTGTTAAATTTTTTCTTTTTAGCAATAAAAAGGAGTATTGTTTTTGCCTTTTCATATATATTTTACATCCATGGAGAAATAAAAGGGATTAACGAAAAAATTGACACTCCTGGACCCGTTTAAATCCGCATGTGTACGGTAAGTTGGCCCGTTCCACAGAGGAAAGAGAAAAAAATTGACACTCCCTATTCTACCATTCCTACAAACGCTCATGAAACAGAGAATTTGTAATGGGGGAAGGGTTTTTTTCCTCCTCGCTATTATATGTTTTTCATTTAAAAAGATACAACAAATGTACTTAGTGTGATTGGTTATGATCATTGCTTTTTTTTTAACTGGTCATGGTTAGAATCCCAGTATGTGTGTTTTTAATGAATAAAAAAAAAGTAATTGTGAAGACCAAAATGTCATTCTTACTTTCACTATCGTTGTAGAAAATTTGAAATGGAGCAATAATTTTCCCGCTCCTGCTATTGTATATTGTGTAGATGACATTAGCTTAAAAAATAAAAATAAAAATGCCCAACCATAAAAATGTTATAAATACACCAAAGCAAACACTAAAAGCTATGTGAAATGCTTCTTCTTATTAACTAGTAACATAGTCAAATACGAAATGCAACAATAGGTGAATGGCTATTGGCTCATTCCTACAAAAGGCTTCAATGCACACAACTTATAATTATGATAATATATCTCGTTATCGTCCCAAACCAATCCAAGCAAATGAATATACATATTAATTTCATCAAATTCTGCTCATTTAGTACCCAACTCAATTAGATTGGTTAAGTAAATACTGATAGAGTTAGCCATAATTATCATCCGGTTGACCTTGCACGGAAACCATTGATAATCTGTAAAAACATATATGTCCTTGTCCTCTTGGAGTGTGCTTCGTCGGAAGGAAGATGAGGGCTGTTAAGTTTTGGGGAATGTTTTGTCCTTGTGGGTTTGACTCACGATGGGTATGTGGCTCGCTATATATCATCATGTATATCAAAGCTTCAATTTCTATCGTGCAACCACACAAATTAAATGGACGTTTGGATTGGATAATATCTAACTGAATATAGCGTGATTCGATTCTTAGTTCCATTAACTATATAATTAAATACAGAAGAAAATAATATGACATACCTCAATTCTAATGGACAAAGAAATTGGTATTAATGATACTTAAGTGATCATTATTCTCTTCAGTGTAACGACTTTGATCTAGTGGTGTCGGCGCTGATATAGAATTGAAAACTAAAGATCTCAAGACTCAAGTTTAAATCTCTTATACTTGCACCTACTTATCAAAATTAAACTATATCACCCATACGAGGAAAATCATCATTCTCTTATTCTACATATATAAGTTTAACAACCCAATTATCCTTAGGAGAAACATAAATAGCCAGCTTATTGAGAAACACCAAAACCACACATCTAACTGAAGTTTATTCTTTCACACACACACACGATAAAACTGACAACACCAACTTCCATGAGAGGAAAACTAAAAAAGATTGCAAATCAAACAGCTCAAGCAGCCGCAGGCGCTATTACAATCGGGCTCGTTACTTTATGTGTCCCATGCATCTCATTCCATCTGACCCAACCTCGCGAAACTCTTCCCTTCTTGTCTTTCACATACTTCACGGTCAACGTGTAGTTCATCCTCTCATACTTCTTGACAAAAACCAGAGTCTTTGGATGAACAGTAACAGAACTCCCCCTTGGTGCGACCACATCAACCTTGTACACTCCGCCACCTTCTACAACGTTTCTCACCGTCCTTCGAAACCTCCGAACAACAACCCGTGGCGATGTCTTCTTGTTGTCGTACAACACGACGAACGATGGATAGTTACAGTAAAGAGAACTTCTTTTTGAACAATTGTCATGACGAATCAATTCAAATTCAGTGATGTTCGAATTTTGATATTTAGTATAATTCAAAGAACAAAGAGAACCCACATGACCTTTCGGACTGGTGTCGTAAACCAAACCAGGATTCATAGCTCGGTGCAGATTGACAACTGCCAGAGCTCGACCCTCGTCGTCGTGGTAGATGCCGGTGGCAGTTGTCACTATAGCAGATTTTATGGCCATGGGACTCCATTTTGGGTGGACATTTTTCAGCATAGCAATGATTTTGAAAACTTGAGGACAAGCCGCTTTGGTTGGGTTTTCATTAGATGGGCTTCGTGATCCATGGGCCGTGCCGTTGTGATCCACGGAAGCCATCCCGTTATGCCTCAGCGGATGGCGGCTGTCTAAAGATCCGAAACGGTGGTCGTCGAGAGTCAATGCGGGCCGGTAGTGAGGACCAAAGTGCAACTCGTCCATGTGAATTATGCAGCTTGCTCTCTCTAATGATCCACTAATGTTGCTGCCGTGGGACGGATGTGGGAGAAGACACGTTGCGGCTACGAAGAGGCAAAGAAGAACAGTAGAAGGGATTTGAAGGAAGCTGTTGGTCGCCATTGTAGGATTTTTGGGCTCTTTTTTGGGGGTGAAATGAGGCCTAGAGAGGTTTTCGTAGACATTTATAGGGAACGAAAAGATTGGCTGGATATATCGTTGTCGGCTGCTGCGAAGTCACAGAAGAGAAAAAGTTATACAAGTTGTTGTCTAGGTGACTAGGAGTAACGAAATCTTCCTAGAAATGGGCTCTGATAAAAAGTCAGGAAAAACCGAACTACATATGCCGACATTCTAAATTGTGTTCTTTTGTATGTGTGTGGATAGCCAGGACAAAAATGAGATGTGATTTCCTACGTGGTATACTTGGCATGTGTTTGTGTAGATGATGAGGACGATAGGTTGGAAGACTTGTTGAGCTACTGGAACTTTGTAGCATATGAATTGGTTTGGATGGATCATTTATATGGTTTGGAAAGATGATGGATGAATTCAGAAAGGAGATAATTTGGCCAAGTCAATTATAATGAGTCAATTTAAATTGTCTGTCACTACACAGTTAACTAGAATTGAATAAAAACGTATCAATTAGAAATTTTCCAAGTGAAATTGATCCATCGAAATTTTTAATTGGCAAATGAGTCAATCTGGTCCAATTGTCTATTTTAGAGTAAACGTTTAGGTGCATAATCATTAATTATATAATACATTATAATTAGATTTCAAGCTCTTTGGACAATCTGTAAAAGAAAGGTTTTGAAGGTGTAAATATGTGGATTAGTACTTAGCACAAAACCTTTACCCTTCCATATATGCCTTACATTGACATTGAAGATGTTACGTTTTATATTGTTACTTGGAAAGCTGTAAAGTGTCATGGATTTTGTAGGAACGTTTGTATTTTGAGTACGGTGTCGTACTCTATGTTGTTCGGATCAATAAAGTTCATGTGGCATATGGTAATTGTCCAAGCAGTGTAGGTCGATCGGCCAATAACCCTAAATCTACCCATTCATATTAGGAGATTCCCCATGAGGAGTGGGTCAAAGCATAAATTGCAGCTCTCAGCGTATCTGACGGAAGGATGTAAACGTCTTTGCACTCTTATACGTCTATAATCTCTTTCATTTTTTCCACTGAGGTCGGAAGGGAAGCCTACCGAGGTTGGGCTACTTTTTTGTTTTTGTAGAATCCTCTTTCTATTTTTAGTTTTAACTTTTAAGTTATATCATTTTACTTTTATGTATTTATTACTTATTGGTGACAAGAAGAAAATTATTATGCTAATTAAAAGGAATTTTCTAATCTATAGTCACTCTAAACTCTAGGTGAAACTTATATGGAGTATATTAAGTATATATATTCCGTTGGTTAACAAAAAAGGCAACATCTAAGTTATACATGTCAACCTTCACATTATGTTTATCGACTTGAACAATCACAAGGTCGAGCATTTGATACTCTTATAGGAATGTTTCTTTAAAACGGCTGACCTAAAGAGGAACGTGATCGATAGTTATAACTTATAAGCAACACAAATCATATCACATATTATAACTATGTTGATTGATCAAAATTTTCGTCAGATTGCGAATATATTTTACTTGGAGTTTGACCAAATCATCATAGGCATACCCCAACCAAAAATACAAAAATTTGTTTTGTTAGCTCATACACAAAGCGAACAGTTATTTCCCAACCCCGTTCAAATCAAACTGAAAAGTTTAAGCGATTAATTAGAGAACCATTCATCTATGCATTTAATATATAGTAAGAACTAAAATAGTTTGGAATTTTCTTTAGGAAGATGTTTTTTTCAAGTTGAGACAAAATGGTGTTTTGCATTTGTAAATATATTACCATTAAGTTCTTGCTTTCAATTATATGTAGGACAAAAAGAGTCTTTAAAGAGGTAGTATCTACTCGAGTAAAATTATATTTCATATTTGTAAAAAATATTAGCATTAAATTTTTCTTTCAATGAAATTTAAGAGAAGAAGGAAGAGAATGTTCAAAATTCAAATGTAAGAGAACAATGAAGATATTGCTAATAGTGTAAAGATGTGTCGTTAATGAGGAAGAATGTGTTGTTATTGGTGGCGATGATAATGCTAATGACAAAGCAATCGTGAAGTCCAAAATAAAATTTGCATCCATTTCTAATCGACATGTTATTTCTTTTGAACACGTTAGGAGTGGGTTTCCTTACATGATATTTTTTTAACTTTCGATAATTGCATTAGTTGAATTGATTTGCATCTCATTAAAATGATACATGCTCTTTTTTATTTTGCCAACAATCAAATATTTAGACTCTTTAGTGTATGCAAATAATCAAACAAAATTTTCTTTGGATAATTTCTATAAATTTTTATATTATCGATAAATTTATACGGCCAACAGGCCGGGTCTTAATCTAGTTCCTAATAAGAGAATTGAAGTGAGGGTTATACATATGTAACAACCGTCAACCGAGTTTGGCTGCATGTATGTGTGTGAGCAATTAAGTTAAAAAACCTAATAAGAGAATTGAAGTCTACTTGAGTAGTCTTCCGTGAATTAGTCTCGTCCTCACGAACGATAATATCATGTAAATTGTTGTCTTATTTTCAGTTTGTTCTTCGCTTTTTTTTTAATCATGTCATTATTCTTATACATGTTGTGTATATACATTTGGGAGAGAAACATTAATACTTCTAGAGATAGAGCTTTGGAAGAGCATTTATTCATAAAATTTTTGCTCATATAGTGAGTGTCTCTTGATGAAGTATATTTTTTGTTTTCGTTGAATCAGTTTCCCTCATCTCATTAATCAAAACTAGCAAGAAGCTAGGAGAACCAATTACAACGAAAGGGGTATATCAAGAATACCCAAAGAGACAAAAAATCTCATCAATCCACTATAGCTACACAAAAACAGCTACAACTACTACTGCAAAACAAAGACACCAGGAAATGGGCTCAACAGAACCATCACAAGATGCCAAAACCTGCCATCTCTTCAAGAATGCCTCTGTTTGCTCCAATGATCAGTAGATCATTTTTAATTACCCCCTGCAAATCCGCCACTGAATGAGAAAGGCCCCCATACTTCTGCCTGCACCTCTCCTTCCAGATGGAAGCCACCAGGAAACACCAGATCAACCCTGCAACTGCACCATGTTTTTTCCTGCATAAAGCACAAGCAACTTCCACAGTTGCAGGCCATGATGCCCTATACAGATTGAGAGAACAAACACCATGTATCAGCTCTCTTGCATATGAACACTGGAAGAACAAGTGCTCCCTAGTTTCACATCCCTGTTTACACATGACACACACATCATCCACCACCTTCCCCCATTTCACCAGTTTATCAGCAGTGACAATTCCATCAAGTAGAATTGTCCAAACAAGGAAACTATTTCTAGGAACAAATCCATGCCCCCAGACTAGCTTGTGCCATTCCACTACAGGCCACTTAGGCCTGATCACCTCCCAAACTACACTTAATCGAAACCTGGGCATAGGGACCTGATTCCAGAGTATTGTTGCCCCCTGCATAGAGAAATGCTGCTGCAGAACACTTCGAGCTTTCAGAATCCTGCGCCAGGCCCAGGAGCCACTAGAACCGGACCTGATTGTCCAGATGCTACCCTGCTTAACCCTGTAGGTCTTGATCCATGCCACCCATATAGTCCCACTCTGCATTAGAAGCAGCCATAACATACGAGCAGTGCAGGCTTGATTCCCGGAGTAGAGTTCCTTTATACCCAAGCCACCTTCTTTCCTAGGCGAGCCATTATGTCCCAACCAATCTTGGCCCTGCCTTCCCCTCACCATGCCACAAGAAATTAGAGCAGATCTTTTGAACCTGTTTCAGAACCTTTTTTGGGAGTAGAAAGACTTGCATCCAATATTGTAAGACTCACATCAAAACAGAAGTGACTAATTGGAGCCTACCAGCATAACTAAGTCTTTTAGCCCTCCAGGACTTTATTTTTTGAGTGATCTTTGCTACCAAATTCTCACATTCCACAGAAGATAGCTTACTTAAAATCAATGGGAGTCCCAAGTATCTCACTGGAAGCACCCCCTCCCGAAAACCAGTCATTTGGGTGGCCCTGCTCTTAAACAACACTGACATACCCCCAAAATACACTTCACATTTGGCAGGATTGCACTTCAGACCCGACAAAGTATAAAATTCAGCAAGAGTCTCCTGCACTTTGGAAATAGCAGTCCCTGACCCCTCTGTAAAAATCAAAAGATCATCAGCAAAACTCATATGAGTTAGCTTCACTTTTTTGTACTGTGGATGGTAAGGAAGCCTCCCTATATCTGCATATTCATTTAAAAGCAACGAGAG